TTTTTTTTGTAATTTGCCCCCAAAAATTATAATCTTATTAATCTTTTAGTTTAATTAAGTACTTCTTTTAGGGTCATTATAGTAGACATCCTCAAAAAGTATGAACATATGTAAGTTAAGATATTTGTTATGTTGATTATTACAAATGTCATAACTAAACCATTTTCAATCATAACTACAAAAGAAAAAGAAAAAGAAAAAAGAGTTACAACCAAAATAATAATCACAATAGCACATAATTAATATCACTGAGTATAGCGATTCAGTTTGGACCCGTTACTTATTGCATTCCGGACTCGGGTTGGTTTGGTTTTAAATAGTTATTCATATCTCTTTCTCTCGTCTTTCCCTTTTATTTTGGTTATCGGGTTGTACTTGTGCGTTTGGGACAGGTTGGTTACTTGTTTTTCCAAACCTTTGCTGCCCAAATTTTGGCTCTTGGGCTTGAGCGAGCATTCTTGCGCTCGAGCAGGCTTTACAAATTTTGCTCCTCCGCTCGAGCTGCCATTCTTGTGCTTGAGTGGGATTTGCCACTTCTCAGCATTTCTTTTGCAGTTCTGAAAATACTGAGAAAGTGCTTTAGATGCTCGAGCGTCTAGTCCCACTCTTGAGCGGGGACCCTCGTCTGCAAAAATTTTAGAAATGTGTATTCTGCGCTCGAGCGCCAACTTTCATGCTCAAGCAGAAGCTTGTGTCTGATGCTCGAGCAGACGTATAACAGTTCGAGAAAATGATATTTTGAATCACTTTTTCATCTCTCACTCTCTCTAAAACTCTCCAAAAAGCTTGTTCTTAAGCCTCTCTCTCTAGAATTCACCTTCTCTCTTAGATTTCATCTAGATCCATTAATCTTTTCACCCTAGTGCCTTTAAGAAAAAGGCAGTGCTTGTCAAGATCTACATTTTGATCCGAATAGAAGTAGGTTTCGGCGCTCTTGGAATTTCTCTTGTTTGACTCATCGTCTTCCTTTGAGGTAAGGATCTTTTTTATACCTTCATATGATATTTAGCTTAGTTATTTGTATCTTGTGTAACAATGGTGTGTTTTGAGGGTGTTGTAAGCAAACCTAGGGTTTGGGTATAATATGGAAAGAGGAATTGTTGATGAACATGAAATAAACGAATGTAGGTTGCGAAAATGAAATTATGTTGGGTCAAAATAGTTGAAAATGATATTTGGGTTAATAATTAAAAAAGGGAAGGTTTTTCCCTAAAATGACTATCATGATTATTTTATATAGATAATTAAAATTGTCATTGAAAATGTGAAATTGAGAGGGTATGGGTATGAATGGTGGGGTTGGTTATGTATTGACTGATCCTTCGAAAATTTGAATAAATTATCTGTCATGAGATTGAATCTCTGTTTGGAAATAACTGTATTGGGCTATCGGTGGAGGATAACTATGATTGTTGTAGAAATTACATAAAGATTAGGTGAATTGAAACTAATCTTTTGTTGTTTGTTATTGAATATGACTATGTTTATATACACTGTACATGTATGACTATGTGGGAGTGGAAAGGGGATGTGCTCCATTGTTTGATGTTGTATTTAAATACATTGCATATGTATGAATGGTTGTTTGGGAGGAGAGAGGGGATGGACTTCATTATAATTAAGTTTGCCAGAGTGTCCTGGGTGAAAGTCCCGAAATTATACATGGGTGCCTAACCCGTGGACGAAATATCCATAAAATAGAAATTGTAGTTCTTGTATAGCCTACGTTTACGTGGGTCCCGTTTGATGGCTGCCTGTGGACGAAATTTCCCTGAAAGAAAAGTCTGAAGTGTTCATGCATCGTTGATGTGATTGTAGAATTAATGAGTTGAAGTCTCATTTAGATTGTCAAAAAGATAATGAATCTGGTCCATGTAATGAAATGAATGGAAATTGGTACTTTATGACTGTATAATTATGGATGTTTGTATCACTGACGTTGTGTATGCATAGTGTACTTATACCTTTGCTAAGTTTCATATATGATGCTAGATGATTTCTGCTGGGCTGTGGCTCACCCTATTTGGGATTAATATTTTCAGGTGTCGATAACCTACCTCCACCAGGGCAATAGCTTGGAGGGACATTTTGGGAGCAAGAGCTTCTTTATTTGAATTGTATATTTTTGTACAGTCTATGGCTAAATGTGTATGAGCTAGTCTCCTTTTTATGTAACCAAGTCAAAACTTGGAAACATGTAAGCCAATAGGGCATCTCATTCTGTTAAACTCTTTTGTATTATTAACTTCATATAATGAAATGATTATTTACTCTGATTCATGCTGTTATTAATATGTGTCTGGATTGTATTTATTGTATTATTTTGGGGGCGTTACACTGAGTCATAATTAAAGATTAAAATATTATAACTAGGAGATGTGGTAGGGATATAATAGAATTTCCCCTTTTTTGAAATATTACTTATGTAAAAAATACAAACATGTGAATGAAATAGTTCCCCATCACCGATGTCGAATGTGCTTGAATTTGAAATGCATAATTTTCAAAGTATATATGTGTGTATATTGTTGGCACCATAAATAAATAATTTATTATTATTGATAAATTGTAGGACACGTGACGCTCTCTTACTCATTTGGAGGTTATGAGAAGTTATGAATCATTAAACACATGTGAAAAGATGATGGAGAATGTAGAGGATTATAGAGCATGAATTGGAGGTTAAAAGAAGTTATGGAAACATAAAGATGAAGTGGAAGATCATGGAGTATGAAGTGTAGGAAATGGAAGAATGTGGTAGTTATTAGGTAGTTTTTTTCCTACAAATGGTTGCCTATAAATAGCCATTCATGGCTACATTATAAAAGGGGCATCCAAAACTCAAATCAAAGACGATTGATTTCTATTTTTCTTATCATTTATATTTCCTGCACTTAATTTTCTGCACTTCATTTTTGAAGCATAAGAGTAGAGGTAAATTTTCTGTACTTTATTTTATGCACTTCCTTTTCGAAGCATAGGAGTAGAGGTAAATTAATGATTAGTTTGATTGTTCACTGAATCACCCCGATTGTTCACTCAATCATCTTTCTACATCTTCCTCCTTTTAATTTTTATTTTCTCTAAACTTGACAATTTTGAAGTCCTTTTCATTGACGCAAAAAAACCGTCAACACAATCACTTAATAATTGACTTGAATTTAGTCTGTATGGATTTTTTAATCCTTGTTGGTATGCTCACATTTATGATATTTTCTTTCGTAGGAAAAATAAGCCAAATATATATTTCTTTCGTAGGAAAAATAAGCCATATATATATATATATATATATGGATTATTTACACAAAGACTCTCTTAATAAATATTATTTTAGCCTCATAAATTATAAAACTTATAAATAAATCTCATAAATTATGGAGAAGTATAATTAACCCACTAAAAATATACAAATAGGCCCTAAACTATTGACATGTTTCATTTTGACATCTTTCGTTACTGCATTCACATTTTTTAGATGAAAATATCATTCAACACTCTATATAACACACCCAACTATACTTCTTCTCAATGGAAACACATTTTTTGTGTTTTCATTTTTTGGCCAAATTTATAAACTGAGACCACTGATTTATAAATCAAAAATTTTACCAAACAAGTTTTTATTTGAGTTTTTAAAATTTTTATAAATATAAACAGAAAACAGAGAACGTAAGTGTTACCAAAACAGCACCATAGTGTTGGATGGTATTTTCGCTTAAAAATTTGATCCAACTCCCGGATACTCTTTGTAACATACCAAACTGCACTTCTCCTTTCTATTTTTTTATTATTTTTTTTAAATACTCTTTTTGCAAAAATATATTTACAAAGAATAATTTTATTATTGTTTTTTTTTAAATATTCTTTTTGCAAAAATATATTTACAAAGAATATTTAAATAAATAATAATAAAACAATTATAATGGATGAATGCTTATATTTAAAAAATAATAATAATAAATTTGTAAATATATAGTGTGAAATGGTATTTTTTTGTCTAAAAATTGATCAAAAGTTTGGTTTAAGTCAAAGTGCAATAACAAAAAGGAATTAAAGTGAATCTATTTGTATGCTTTTATGATTTATGGGGTCAAAATGTTGCTTCTCATTAATTTAGAACAATTATAATGGATGAATGCTTATATTTAAAAAATAATAATAATAAATTTGTAAATATATAGTGTGGAATGGTATTTTTTTGTCTAAAAATTGATCAAAAGTTTGGTTTAAGTCACAGTGCAATAACAAAAAGGAATTAAAGTGAAATACACCAATAATTTAAGGCCTCCATTTGTATGCTTTTATGATTTATGGGGTCAAAATATTGCTTCTCAATAATTTAAAGTATTCATTTATACACTTTTATAATTTAAAAGGTTAAAATAATACTTTTTAATAGTTTAGTGGGTCTCCATGAAAATAACCTACATATATATGACAAACAAATCTAACGAGTTCAATAAGGAGGTGAGAGTTGTACGCAAGCACCAAAACAAGACAAAATTGATTAAAGAAATAGATATTTCATTAGAAAGCGAAAATATGAAAACCTTCATGAATAGAATCTGGACAATTTTGGTGAAGTTGGCTGCAATAATTGTTATCCGCAAACGCAGCCAAATGTTCATCAATTATTGCAAGATACCTGGTTGATGAGAAATTTTTATATGCGGATAGAGTACATGTCATGTGATATCTTCTACTATTATAATCAGTGTTGATAGTAAAATCCATTACATTTTTGTTGAATGTTTGAGAAACAATAGTGAATATATAAATTTGTAATTAGTAAAAAGTGTTACCACGTGATACCGTATTGACATACATGTTGATGGATGTTGTCCAAAGTCCCAATATGCTCTTAGCCACGCTAACACCGATACTGACACCAATGCCAAGGACTGTCCCCTTTGCCGTGTCCCCTTTCCCGTACTAAAAGGAACCAATAGGTTATTCGTAAAGGTTTGAGACATGCATCAGATAGGCTACACAAATCCCAGTTTCATTAAATTGGACACCATTAATACAGATGGAGATGATTGCAGCTAGTCATCATCCTCGAGAACACTACAACACCTCTGGATCTGAGATATTAATTACATCAACACAAAGGCAGAAAATGTTTCAAAGATTTTCAAGTCATGGAAACAAGAAGCAAGTTATGTGTTTTGTCTGTTTCTGTTTGGGTATTGATTTGTTCCAACAGTGATAGGAGCCTCTCCTCAGAAACCTATGCATATAATGTTAAATCAAGCATGTTGTTATCATGTGTTATTATTGTTGACTGGAGAGTTTTTAAACGACTGAAAAAGAAAAGGAATATATATATATATATATATATGCACCAAGTACACTGCTACTCTACAAACTTCAACTTCTCAGCTGTCTGACCCATTTGAGCAGCCTTGGTTAGAACATCCTCAACTCCTCTTGCCTTCTCAGGCTTCGCCAAAGCAATTCGAGCTACTGCACAAATGAAATATCAGTTGAAGACAGATATGTTTCATTCGAAGTTAAATTCAAAATTTTAAAAGATGGATTAATAGGTACAAATCTACATTGTATTTCTTTTTTCATTAGATCCTACCTTGTTTTACTCAACTTTGTAATATGTTTCATATGTGTTTAAACGATGGACACCTGTGTACCCCAAGTGTAGTCTAAATTAAAAAATAAATAAATAATGCCATGTTTAGATGTGTGTCCGACACGTTGGAAATGCATGTTAGGAAGTGTCACGACCCCAACCCACCCCTAGATGTTAGAATGGTGACCGACCAATAATTATAGATTACCTACGGCCTCTTAATGAAATCACAAAATATGTATTAAATGTTGGGGCTGAAGCAGAAGCAAAAACAGTTGTCCATTGAGCTGTGCATAATGATATGAACAGAAGAACCCAAAACATTTCATTTCATAACTTATAATATTAACTTGAAATAGAAACACTTATCTTATACATTACTAGTTCACATACATGACTTGACAAAACAAAAGTTGATAAAACCAAAATAAAAAAAAGCCTTGCCACGGAGGCATTTCTTCAGACAATTTCACAAGACGGGTGGACTCCTATGCAGACTCTACAGCTAATCATCCTAATGCTCACCTACAAATATATAGGGGAAGGGGGTGAGCTAGAAGCCCAATAAGTAAAATCAATATAAGGGGCTAATGAATGAGTTACATCATTCTTAAAAGACTATCAAATCATATTCATATCACATTTCAAAAATGCATATCTAATCTTTATCAAAATACACATATATGGTACATCCATTAGAACTAAGCACATTGACCACTTGGGTCGATAACAAAGCTAGCAACCACATAGGGTCGATAACAAAACTAAGAACCCCATTGGGTTGAATCTAACAGAGATCTCCGAAGCTAAGACATATCATCATCTCCCATTATTGGGACTAACTAAGATGCCACAATAGATAATCAAAAAGTAAAGTTCATTCATTTATAACAAAACATAATTTCAGAAAGCCCAACATATCAAAACTTTTCCAAAAATATTTTATGAAAATACCTTTATAAAGATATTACTCACAAAGACTTGGTCTGATGTTACTCCACAGTGTGGTCCAAACTACACAATGCACACAACATAAACACATTGAAATACAACGCTCAATCAGATACTTCTCTTTTCTAACTCATTTGTTGATGTTGGTTTCTAACTTATTAATCCCTTATTGAGGCTTCATGCATGCCTAAGGATGCTTGGGAAAAAAGAAAAGAAAAAGAAAATATAAGCACAAGAGCATTTTTCAAAGTTGCGGAAAACAAGGTGACCGCTCGAGCGGTCCCTTCACCGCTCAAGCAGTGAACGTGAGTTCACAGTACTTTGGTCTGCAAAACATCATTGAAGCTTGAAATTCACATATTTTGCAGTACTTTGGTCTGCAAAACATCATTGAAGCTTGAAATTCACATATTTTGCGTACTAGATAGCTAGAAAAGCCTCAATTTTTTTTTTTTCAATTTTGTCTTAGTGGATTTCTTTCAAAATTTGTGTCAATGTTTTACTTTGTATGTTCGTCTAGTCTAGAAGGATCTAAAAGGTTGTAAAAAAATTTATAAAAAAAAGAAAAAAATCCAAAAAACAAGTTCACTAAAGCCAAACACCCCCCCCCCTTTTTTGTTGTCTTTAGTGGACTTTTTTCCAAATTTTTAATTTTTATTTTTTAGTTTCGTCTAATCTAGTAGGATTTAAACGTGAAAAGTTTTTAAAAATTCACTAAATAAGAAAAAAAAATTAACAAAAAAGTTGCTAAAAAGTTGTTGTCACCATGTTGTCAAAATGCCATACATATTCCCATGCTTGAGTGCAGATTGTAGGAGAATAGATAAAAATCTTAGGGTGAATTCACTGACCTTCCTTGAGGTTTAGAGAAAATACAGTAAGCCCCACAAATTTGGCATAATAAAAAAAGCTCCCTTCAAGTTTTAACAAACATAACACTTGGCCCATTTTTCATCTCCTTTACATGAAAATGTATATTTTACGTTGTTTATCTTTGTATTTTAACACCATTTGCATTGGGTTTGGTCCATTTAACTTTACTAAAAGGCTTTAGGTTTTCATTCACATAACACTTTGTAGACACAAATTTTAAAACATGAAGTGTTTCAACACATTTCAAAATTTTATGTTACAAATGTCCACTGTTTAGTCTTTTTGACTAAACAGTGTTGATTATTTGAATAGCAGGTTCTTATTTCCGATCTGTATTTCAGATCGTTAATTACACATTTTATGCAAAATGAAACCTCTGATTAATGAAGAACAAAATAAACAACAAAAGACAATTTTAAAAAAAGAAAATATTTTATTACGATTATTATGGGTTTTGAACCCTCGAATACAAAATACAGTTTGGGTTTGGAACCCTTTACCTATTCATCGCCATTAGCGTAGGTTCTTGAATTCTCTAGCCTTCTCTTCTTCTTTCTTGTAACGATTTGTTTAGCTCTCAACTTCTTTCTCTCTCTCTCTGATCTTTTTCACTTCTGATCTTCCAATCCCACGGTCTTGTGTGATGGTCCTCATATTTATGGAGGGCCATCAGGTGATAGGAACGCTTCATCTTCATTTTGAATTTCAAATTGAATGATATTTGAATTTCAAATTGAATGATAACGCTATTTAAAATGTGCATCGAAACATTGGAATTACAAAAAGGATATGAAAAAATACAGAACTTACCAGAGGCGATGATCATAACACAAAACTGAATACACGACTAGTTCCATCATAGTTCTTCATGAGTGGAGTGTAAACCCAAAAAGAACCTGCCACAAGCCACCCAAGGTTAAAATCATATAAAAAAGGAGTCATTATATTCATACCAATCATGCAGTGATTAGTAGAACTGAGAGATTCATGATACTTACTTTCATAAATTGACCCCAAAACAATCCAAATAACCAGCCAAATGAAATATGAAAACACAAGTTGCAGGCCAACTAGATTCACAAGTAGATACTCTCTGCAATCAAAGCAAGTCCTTCCACATAGCACAATCAAACAGTAGCTTAAAGAGCTGCTCATGTGTGGCAATGCCAAACTCTAAACTTCTAGCATTATAGGTTCCTAATCTGGTTCAATATGACTGCAAGTAACAGAGCTAATATTTACTACACTGAAGCTCTCTTTAAGGAGTGATTTCACAAACTGTCCCCAAAAGGTCTATTGTCAGTGCCACCAGACAACATTGAGCTGAGCAGATGGGTTTCAACCCCTCAGGGTTTTTATTAGGTTGAACTTAACCTGAAATTGTTTATCTACATTCTATACCAACAATGCATTCCTCCACTTGTATTGAAACCTAAGAAGCATACACACGGACATGCCGACACAAAAAATTTCAAAATATGTAAGACACAACACGTGTGGGGCACATGAAAAATATATAACTTTATATATTGATTATGTGTTATATATAAGGATAAATAATTATTATATGCCATAAATAAAAATATTTAACTCAAATATAATAATTTTTGAAGTCTAAAGAAGGAGAATATATATAAATTTACATTTTTTCTATTTTATCATTGAATTTCAAGTTATTTTATTCAAACTTGTATTGTTTCATGTGAGTCTAACTGTTGAGAAGTGTCCGATGAGTGTAATGTCATGTAAACGTTACCTTCCTAGAATTGCCCGGGCTTCTTAGATTAAAACATTAGAAGAATCAAAATGAAAATCTAATGCCACAAGAGGAACAATCTAATATCATAATTAGGATATAAATGCCTATCATGCTACCTGGCCTTACAGGTGACGTCAAAAAATAAAATTTCTTGCATGGTTTCTCTAAAACATGATTGTTTCTAATTTCAGTTTTGTGCCATTCCTTTGACAACTCTAGAGCAAATATGATACTGGAAAATGTTTTTAAAAGCCCAATCACTTCAGTATCAGAATCTCCTTTTTAAGAATAATATTGTAATACTGAACATCTATATTATTAGCTTTCCAATCAATCATTTCTTCATAGAAAAAAAAAATGCTGTGCACATAGAGGTGATAAATGAGGGTGGGTTTGATGATAAATGAGGAGTTTGAGGAAATAAAAACTTTACAAATCAGAAGGTTAGAAAAATGTAACTAAGATTTCAGGTAAGCTAAACAAAGTGGAAAATCTTAGGCAATCAACTTCCAATTAAAATTCAGAAGTCACACAAGTACTCAACGCAGCATTGAAAAAGAATCTTATCCATTCCAATGAGATAGATTTTAAGATCATGATGACCAGACTGAATTTTCTCAAGTAAACTAATAGGACCACTGAATAGTTCCTAGAAATCTCCTCAAGTGTTAATTTGATCATGAAAAACACTTTGAGGATCAATGCTTATTTTTTGTTCAACTTTTGACTGAAATGGAATTGCCTTTTCCTATATCTAGATCCTCTTTTCTGTAAGATGTCACCATATTATTTACTCCAACCATCCCATTTTCCTTGGTGCGTTCCAACTTGAAACATATACCTCACTGGTGCAGTCATTTGTCTTCGTTAAACATGAGCAAGCCATAAAATCTTAGTATGTTGAGGCAGGTGGACAATGCTTCTTAGTGTGCAACTGACCTTAGTATGTTGAGGCAGGTGGACAATGCTCATGATCCTTAGTGTGCAACTGACCTTAGTATGTTGAGGCAGGTGGACAATGCTCATGATCCTTCTGTGGAAACCTGCTTCCAGAGACCATCTGCCATTAATTTCCTTTGAGGAACTATTTGATTTTCTGATTCCATTACTGAATTTATGGTGGAACCAATACATTCTTTGAAGCATTTTTCATTTCTTTTTCACGATTAGACAAGAAGCTCTGTACTCCAAGTGTTTTGCAGTCCCATAAAATCTGAGATATCTCATCTTGTGGCATGCTTAAACCCTCTTGTTTGACTGATCTGTGCAATTCACAAAAGAATTTTGGATCTTGTAATCTGATATGCTCATGCAACATCCTCTCATGATCCGGGACCCAATTCCTTGGGAATGGAGTGTAATCACAAGAAGGTATCAAAGACATGTGAGAGAACTGTACACCTTCAATAGTATCAACAAGTCCCATCCTCAAAAGATCCGAATATTCAGGAACAGAACTGTTACTAATTGCCCTCAATGGACGACTGAGATCACGTGAAGCTATCTTGTACACCTTGGCACGAGATTTCAGTCTATACCTTGCAGCATATAGTTTAGCCAGAGAACTACGAATCACATATGCGAAAAATGCAACAATTTTTTTGCGGTTATCGGCAAATCTGTACCAATCTGCCATGGTTTCAAGGAACTTATTCATCTGTGCATTAGTATGAGCTTGACCTGAATAGAGCATAGGAGTGCACGGCAGTGGGTCGGGATCCTTATCACCCTTAACGAGCTGAAGCTGCCTAAATTGACGAATACATTGTTGTAAGCTAGCTGTGACTGAAAGCAAAGTACCGACACCTTTCTTACTCACAATTTCACCCCCAGTTGCAGTGTAATGAAGAGTTGGGTGTATCACCCGGAGAGAAATTATATGGTCCAAGAACTGAATTCCTCTACTGATGTGTTCTATCTCCACCTTTGAATTATCCAACCTCAACCCATATTTCTTCTCACAAAACTCAAATATTTCCTTGCGAATTCTCACTGCCTCTTCCCTAGGTCCTCGAATCCCAATTAAGAAATGACCACCATACCGAATGTAATCCATTTTCCTTGTTCTGTCCTTCCCACTGGAAGGAACGAATTCTGGCCAAGAAGGGTTATGACTAGCATCATCAATTGAATCTTTCCAAATCGAATCAAGCTTGGATGCCCTAAAAAACTCGACAATTTTCTCTTCCATCATGTGATCCAATTCATCAAGACATACATTAGCAAGTAAAGGACTAAGAATTCCACAAAAACCATAATTGGGTACCTTTGCAGCTTCCTCGGGTGCGAAACTATAGAAAGTTCTCAACCAATACGGGTCTGGTTTCGGCTCATTTTCATTTAGGATCTTTTTCTTCCTTGAACCAATTTTGTTCTTCTTCTTCTTCCTCTTCTTTCCAAACTCTTGTTTACCTCCACTACCACATTGTGATGATCTATCATTCTCTTTTTTTACAGGGGTGGATGCTCTACTACTAAGTGCCAATTTGATCAAACCCAGAACTCTCTTATCCTTGACAGCCTCTTGGACACAACCCATCAACACATTGACATCGATGTCTTCAAAAATTTCAGTAACATCGCCTTTCAAGAACCAAAGGAAGCCGGCGAAGTTGCTCCTAATAGTGCGAATAACGGTATGAGGATTGCGGCCAGGGCGAAAGGCGTGTGATTTGGAAGAGAAGCGAGACTCGAAAATGGGTTCGAGAATTAGCAAGAGGAGTTCCTGAACAAGGTGGTCTTGAAAAGGGGGATTGGTGGGTTTGTGATTTGGGCTGCGAATGTAAATGTGGAGGTCGATGTTGGCGTTCCAGATGAAGTGGCCTCGGAGGACGGCGTTGCGGAGAGAGAGGAGGTGGGGGAGGACGTGGTGGGAGTGGAGGGCGTAGCGGGGAGGGAAGGAGCCGGTGAAGTGGGCGCAAGTGCGCTGGTAGGCCAAGACCCACAGCTCCAGCTTTGCCAGGAATCCAGTCAGGTTGGTGAAAGGTTTTTGTGGGGTGGTTCGGTGGTGGTGGGCTCGGACCCAGAGCTGTGAGATCACTTCAATTGGGTCTTCTTTCAAAACTGATGATGAATAATAACACAGATACGAGGAGAGGTGTGCGAGGGAGCGAGGGAGATGATGGTGCGAGGAGAGGTGCGCGAGGGAGCGACTAGAACAAGTGATGTGTCTCAGGTGTTTGACGAATGTCCTCACTGACATATTCTCCTTTTGTTTTCCTGCCCTTCTGATAAACACACACACTCTCTCTCTCTCTCTCTCTCTGTGTCCTCCTGCCTGCCTGCCCTGCTAATTTAATTGGATGTTTATGGTTTTCGCCGGCGAAACCTTTGAATTTGAATGTTTGAATGGTTTGGTGACTGACACTTTTGAGAGGGCTACCACTTCTACTGTGATGCTGATCTGCCCTTCGCGCCGTTAAGGGGATGTTTGAGATGTACTCATTTAGGGTTGGTTTGGGGTGTCCTAAAAAAGTGTACTTTTTGTCTTTTTACGAAAAGATGTGCAGAAAAGTAGAGAAGTGATGTGATGGAAAAAAGATAAAAAGATAAAAAGATGGATTATATAGGTTATGCCAAACCAGGCCTATTTTTAAAAAAAATATATGTTAAAAAGTAAAAGTGGTGTAATTGCACTTACTTAGAGTATCTTCAATCCTGTGCTAAAATTTTCAACAAATCTAAGTAAAAAAATGATTTTTTCCTCAATCTGATACCGAGTGTTCTAACAGTTGATTTTTATCAATTTTTCATCAAATCTGTGTCAGGATAACCGGTTGGTCGACCGGTTAAGCCAAATTTTGTTTTTCTTTTTTTGATTTTTTTTTTGAACCTTTTAGTGGACCGTTGGTCGACCGGCCGGTCAACCGGTAAGGCAAAAAAATTTTTTTTTTTTTTTCAACTGTTTGACATTTTTTTTGGAACTGTTTGAACCTTTTGGTGGTCGACCGGTTGGTTTCCCCAACGGTCATGCACAATGTTTTGATGAAATGCGGAGCCTGTCTTCATTTTGGTGAAACGTTTGGTGAAATCTCAATTTGATATCGATTTGGTGAAACCGTTGGAGCATGAAAAAGTGCTTTTTTCACCCAATTTTAAATTTGATACCAGATTTGGTTCAGGGTTGAAGATGGTCTTAGGGATTGTTTGGAATGTGTTATATAAATATACTTTTTAATTTTTTAACTAAAAAAGTTGAAAAAAATGTATGAAATGTATGTTTAGAATAATTTTTTAACTTTTTATGAAAAATTATGTAATAAAATATCATAGATGCACGGTACACTGACCAAATTGTTGACTTTCGAGGTGTGCATATATATATATATATATATATTTTTAATGGGAATTCGTGGCTCGGGATGTGCCACATCTTCTCACTTTGCTAAATGTATGTGCAAAGTACACTGACTGAACTTGTCGGATATATATTAAAAAAAATAGCTTCCCCACACACTTATAGTATGAACTTTTTAGTTTTTTTAATAACTTTTTGACTTTTTAACTTTTATAGTAGATCACAAACAAGCACTTAGTCCTCGCCTGATAAATATTTTGGAATTAAAAAAGTACAAATAGACAAAATAGGCTATATAAGCCAATAAACAAAATGTCACATTCAAATTATAATTATTATACTTTTCTCTTACAAAATTCAAAAAAGTCTAAAACAAAAACCAAACGAGGCTAAAAAAGTCCCAGCATATAAAAATTGACTACCGTAGCCAATGCCAAACGAAGCTTTAGGTATTATTTGGTATAACCTAATATAGTACAAAAAGTTAAAAAAATTATTGAAAAAGTCAAAAAATAGTAATATCGTTGGATAGTGTACGAAAAAAATCCTAGATGACGAAATAACACAATTACTCTTGTTTTGGCCTGTTTTGGATAAAGGTTCCATTTGTGTATATACATTTGTTTGGCCAACTTGCACAAAACTTGGTTTGAACAACACTTTCCTCAAACAGTGAGCTTGCAAAATAGTAGATCCAACTCACCCTTACCCCCGCGAGAGGACGACGATAGTTGGTCTTGCACAACGCACTTCGCATCCAACCATAACTCCTTCCAATACCAAATCGGTTCCCACTAGCAGTCGTCCCACCGGTAGAGCAGTAGAAGCCAAAGCCATCCTCCAGATCTTCAACTCTCTAACCATTCTTCTTACTTTCGACGAAGGTAACAACTCTTACTTATGCTCGAAAAAATGGGTGATTTGGAGCATGCACTGTTTTCTAATGCTGCACACACTCATTCACATTATGGTTTTCATAACAAAGCCCCCAAATCAGGGCTCTTTGGTTGTTCACTCATCCATCCACTTATAACCCACTTTGCACGATAAAGAAAAAACGTGTGTATAATGTTTTCCCTCTACACTGATCAATCATTTTTTATGCCGGTTCTTTTGTGTTTGGGGCTTCATTGTAACTAGTTTATCCTTAGTGTGCAACTGACCTTAGTATGTTGAGGCAGGTGGACAATGCTTCTTAGTGTGCAACTGACCTTAGTATGTTGAGGCAGGTGGACAATGCTTCTTAGTGTGCAACTGACCTTAGTATGTTGAGGCAGGTGGACAATGCTTCTTAGTGTGCAACTGACCTTAGTATGTTGAGGCAGGTGGACAATGCTTCTTAGTGTGCAACTGACCTTAGTATGTTGAGGCAGGTGGACAATGCTTCTTAGTGTGCAACTGACCTTAGTATGTTGAGGCAGGTGGACAATGCTTCTTAGTGTGCAACTGACCTTAGTATGTTGAGGCAGGTGGACAATGCTTCTTAGTGTGCAACTGACCTTAGTATGTTGAGGCAGGTGGACAATGCTTCTTAGTGTGCAACTGACCTTAGTATGTTGAGGCAGGTGGACAATGCTTCTTAGTGTGCAACTGACCTTAGTATGTTGAGGCAGGTGGACAATGCTTCTTAGTGTGCAACTGACCTTAGTATGTTGAGGCAGGTGGACAATGCTCATGATCCTTCTGTGGAAACCTGCTTCCAGAGACCATCTGCCATTAATTTCCTTTGAGGAACTATTTGATTTTCTGATTCCATTACTGAATTTATGGTGGAACCAATACATTCTTTGAAGCATTTTTCATTTCTTTTTCACGATTAGACAAGAAGCTCTGTACTCCAAGTGTTTTGCAGTCCCATAAAATCTGAGATATCTCATCTTGTGGCATGCTTAAACCCTCTTGTTTGACTGATCTGTGCAATTCACAAAAGAATTTTGGATCTTGTAATCTGATATGCTCATGCAACACCCTCTCATGATCCGGGACCCAATTCCTTGGGAATGGAGTGTAATCACAGGAAGGTATCAAAGACATGCGAGAGAACTGTACACCTTCAATGGTATCAACAAGTCCCATCCTCAAAAGATCCAAATATTCAGGAACAGAACTGTTACTAATTGCCCTCAATGGACGACTGAGATCACGTGAAGCTATCTTGTACACCTTGGCACGAGATTTCAATCTATACCTTGCAGCATATAGTTTAGCCAGAGAACTACGAATCACATATGCAAAAAATGCAACAATTTTTTTGCGGTTATCGGCAAATCTGTACCAATCTGCCATGGTTTCAAGGAACTTATTCATCTGTGCGTTAGTATGAGCTTGACCTGAATAGAGCATAGGAGTGCACGGCAGTGGGTCGGGATCCTTATCACCCTTAACGAGCTGAAGCTGCCTAAATTGACGAATACATTGTTGTAAGCTAGCTGTGACTGAAAGCAAAGTACCGACACCTTTCTTACTCACAATTTCACCCCCAGTTGCAGTGTAATGAAGAGTTGGGTGTATCACCCGGAGAGAAATTATATGGTCCAAGAACTGAATTCCTCTACTGATGTGTTCTATCTCCACCTTTGAATTATCCAACCTCAACCCATATTTCTTCTCACAAAACTCAAATATTTCCTTGCGAATTCTCACTGCCTCTTCCCTAGGTCCTCGAATCCCAATTAAGAAATGACCACCATACCGAATGTAATCCATTTTCCTTGTTCTGTCCTTCCCACTGGAAGGAACGAATTCTGGCCAAGAAGGGTTATGACTAGCATCATCAATTGAATCTTTCCAAATCGAATCAAGCTTGGATGCCCTAAAAAACTCGACAATTTTCTCTTCCATCATGCGATCCAATTCATCAAGACATACATTAGCAAGTAAAGGACTAAGAATTCCACAAAAACCATAATTGGGTACCTTTGCAGCTTCCTCGGGTGCGAAACTATAGAAAGTTCTCAACCAATACGGGTCTGGTTTCGGCTCATTTTCATTTAGGATCTTTTTCTTCCTTGAACCAATTTTGTTCTTCTTCTTCTTCCTCTTCTTTCCAAACTCTTGTTTACCTCCACTACCACATTGTGATGATCTATCATTCTCTTTTTTTACAGGGGTGGATGCTCTACTACTAAGTGCCAATTTGATCAAACCCAGAACTCTCTTATCCTTGACAGCCTCTTGGACACAACCCATCAACACATTGACATCGATGTCTTCAAAAATTTCAGTAACATCGCCTTTCAAGAACCAAAGGAAGCCGGCGAAGTTGCTCCTAATAGTGCGAATAACGGTATGAGGATTGCGGCCAGGGCGAAAGGCGTGTGATTTGGAAGAGAAGCGAGACTCGAAAATGGGTTCGAGAATTAGCAAGAGGAGTTCCTGAACAAGGTGGTCTTGAAAAGGGGGATTGGTGGGTTTGTGATTTGGGCTGCGAATGTAAATGTGGAGGTCGATGTTGGCGTTCCAGATGAAGTGGCCTCGGAGGACGGCGTTGCGGAGAGAGAGGAGGTGGGGGAGGACGTGGTGGGAGTGGAGGGCGTAGCGGGGAGGGAAGGAGCCGGTGAAGTGGGCGCAAGTGCGCTGGTAGGCCAAGACCCACAGCTCCAGCTTTGCCAGGAATCCAGTCAGGTTGGTGAAAGGTTTTTGTGGGGTGGTTTGGTGGTGGTGGGCTCGGACCCAGAGCTCTGAGATCACTTCAATTGGGTCTTCTTTCAAAACTGATGATGAATAATAACACAGATACGAGGAGAGGTGTGCGAGGGAGCGAGGGAGATGATGGTGCGAGGAGAGGTGCGCGAGGGAGCGACTAGAACAAGTGATGTGTCTCAGGTGTTTGACGAATGTCCTCACTGACATATTCTCCTTTTGTTTTCCTGTCCTTCTGATAAACACACTCTCTCTCTCTCTCTCTCTCTCTCTCTCTGTGTCCTCCTGCCTGCCTGCCCTGCTAATTTAATTGGATGTTTATGGTTTCGCCGGCGAAACCTTTGAATTTGAATGTTTGACTGGTTTGGTGACTGACACTTTTGAGAGGGCTACCACTTCTACTGTGATGCTGGTCTGCCCTTCGCGCCGTTAAGGGGATGTTTGAGATGTACTCATTTAATATTTTTTTTTACAATATTTGTTAAAAAGTAAAAGTGGTGTAACTGCATTTAGGGATTGTTTCAAATGTGTTATATAAATATACTTGTTAATTTTTTAATTAAAAAAGTTAAAAAAAAATTGTATGTTTGAAATAATTTTTTAATTTTTTATGAAAATTATATAATAAAATATTATAGATGCACGGTACACTGACCAAATTGTTGACATTCGGGGTGTGCATATATATATTTTTTTAATGGAAATTCGTGGCTCGGGATGTGCCACATCTTCTCACTTTGCTAAATGTATGTGCAAAATGTATGTGCAAAGTACACTGATTGAACTGGTGGATATATGTAAAAAAAATAGCTTCCCCACACGCTTATAGTATGGGTTTTTTAGTTTTTTTAATAACTTTTTAACTTTTTAATTTTTATAGTAGATCACAAACAAGCACTTAGGCCAAGTTTGAGAACTCCCAAAAAAGTTAAAAAGTCAAAAAGTTACTCAAAAAGTTAAAAAATTAACATTATTCATCAAAAGTCAACAATTACGGCTGCACAACTCTCAATCATAATTTTCCTCTACAAATCAATTTTTACAATTTTTTATTACATATTTTTCTATAAAAAGTCAAAAAGTTAACCCAAATATCCATATTTTTTTCCTCAACTTTTTAGTCTAAAAAGATAAAAAGTGCATTTATTTAGGACACCCCAAACAATCCCTTAGTGCTCGTCTGATAAATATTTTGGGATTAAAAAAGTACAAATAGACAAAATAGGCTATATAAGCCAATAAAACAAAATGTCACATCCAAATTATAATCATTATACTTTTCTCTTACAAAAATCAAAAAAGTCTAAACCAAAAACCAAACAAGGGTAAAAAAGTCCCAGCATATAAAAATTGACTACCGTAGCCAATGCCAAACGAAACTTTAGGTATTATTTGGTATAACCTAATATAGTACAAAAAGTAAAAAAATTATTTAAAAAGTCAAAAAATAGTAATATCGTTGGATAGTGTACGAAAAAAAATCCTAGATGACGAAATAACACAATTACTCTTGTTTTGGCCTGTTTTGGATAAAGGTTCCATTTGTGTATATACATTTGTTTGCCCAAGTTGCACAAAACTTGGTTTGAACAACACTTTCCTCAAACAGTGAGCTTGCAAAATAGTAGATCCAACTCACCCTTACCCCCACAAGAGGACGATGATAGCCGATCTTGCATAACGCACTTCGCATCCAACCGTAACTCCTTCCAATACCAAATCGGCTCCCACTAGCAGTCGTCCCACCGGTAGAGCAGGAGAAGCCAAAGCCATCCTCCAGATGTTCAACTCTCTAACCATTCTTCTTACTTTCGACGAAGGTAACAACTCTTACTTATGCTCGAAAAAATAGGTGATTTGGAGCATGCACTGCTTTCTAATGCTGCACACACTCATTCACATTATGGTTTTCATAACAAAGCACCCAAATCAGGGCTCTTTGGTTGTTCACTCATCCATCCACCTATAACCCACTTTGCACGATAAAGAAAAAACGTGTGTATAATGTTTTCCCTCTACACTGATCAATCATTTTTTATGCCGGTTCTTTTGTGTTTGGGGCTTCATTGTAACTAGTTTGACAGTAATGGGAGGTGGATTTCGGTGCAAAAACAACATCTCTTCACGATTTTTTTTTTTGGTGAAATGCTCTTTGGTTATGGAAAATGATCGTCATTTTGGAAATATGGTTTTTTTTCGAACTCTGAAATGATTTGTAAGACATAGGACGACCATTCCATATGTTTTTTTTTTAAAAGGATTTCAAAAAAGAATTATAAATTTTTAACAAGTTGAAGATCACAAAGGAGAAACATTGGGTCAGAAAATTGAGTCATGTTTGATTGAGTGGAACATTGATAGCATATTCACCTTAACAGTCAATAATGCTAGTTCTAATAATCTTACCATTTAATATTTGAAAATGATAACCATAGATTGGAAGGGGACTATTTTGCAATATGAGTTTATTTATATGCGTTGTTGTGCACATATCCTTAATCTCATTGTGAGTGATGGGCTGAAAGAAATGGACGATTCTATTGCCAATATTAGACTTGCAGTGAGATATGTAAGGTCTTCTCCTCATAGGCATGATGTTTTTAAGAGGTGTGTGGCCACACTCAAACTTGATTCAATAGCTCTTGTATGCCTAGATATACCAACTAGGTGGAACTCTAGCTATTTGATGTTAGAGGCCACCAAAAAGTATGAGAAGGATTTTAACCGCTTGAAGTTTGTGGATTCCAATTTTGATCCTTATTTCAAGGATGTTGATGGTGGCATAAGGAGAAGTCCGAATGAGTTGGATTAGAAAAAATGTAGATTGTTTTTCAGGTTTCAAAAATTATTTTATTTTGCAACTAAGAAATTTTCGGGGTCTTTCTTTGTTACTTCCAATGCTTTTTACAAAGAAATGTTTTTATTGAAAGCAAAATTAACTAATTCATTTTGGAGAAGGATGATACTTTGAGCACAATGGCAAAGACTATGAAACAAAAGTTTAGCAAGTATTGGGGGGATGCATGTAAGATCAATTTGTTATTGTATGTTGCGGTTGTTCTTGATCCTACCAAAAAAATGGCATACTTGATGTTTTGCTTTTCAAATTTATTACTTGGAGATAATAAGAAGGTGGAAGATATGGTAGACAATGTTAAGAGTTGTTTGAGTCATTTGTATAGCCATTATGTCACACTTTATCCTTCAAATGAGAAACTTTTAAGTGTGAGTGAAGTTGCGAATATGGTGGAAGATAATGATGATGATGATGATCCCTATTATTTGGTTAACTCCCAATTTAATTCCTATTTGGAGGGGCGATGCACTAGTGGATTTACGTCGGAATTGGAACAATATTTGTCCAAGGTTGAACATTTTGCAAAGAATCAAACATTTGAGATTTTGGATTGTTGGAAGGTGAATGCAACCAAATATAGAGTGATATCGCAACTTGCAAGGGATGTGTTAGCCATGTCTATTTCTACCCTTGCGTCAGAGTCGGCTTTTAGTACGGGGGGGCATATTCTTGACCCTTTTCGTAGTTCACTCTCACCTTCTATGGTTGAAGCTCTTGTATGTACTCAAAATTGGCTTCGAAACAACCTTTCAATTTCTCTTTGAAAGGCGATGGATGATGTGAAGGAATTTGAGCAATATGACTCGGGTAATATGAGAATTTATTTATCTTCATTTTTATTTGTACTGTTCATTTTCTAATGTAAGTTTTATTAATCTTCTCTTGTTGACTCCTAATTAGGTACTTTGGAGTCAAGCTCATCTTCAAGTTCAACCTATAATGTTGATGCTATAATTGAACTCTAATAGCCATTTGCTCATTGGTAATTTTTTTATATACTCAACACATTTTCTTAGTATATTGAGACGCAATATATAGACATTTGCTTATCTTTTCATTACTTTATTCTTTTACATTTTTCTTGTCAAAGGAATTATGAAGATTAAAGAGTAAAGTTTATATTTTTTTAGTTTGTTTTTGTGCAGGGTTCATCAACCAAATGCATGGAATTTGGATTTTTGAAAGTTGGATTGGATGTGATTCATGATGGAGTTTGAGATCTTAGAAATGTTTTTATTTTATTTCATGGGTTTGAATTAAATGAAGTTTGACAACAAATTTTTTTTTTAATTGCATTTTGGATGAATGTAAAAGTTAATCAAGAATTACTTCTTTTCTTGTTGCATTTTGGATGAATGTAAAAGTTAATCAAGAATTACTTCTTTTCTTCTTGCATTTTGGATCAACGTAAAAGTTAACGAAGAATTACTTTTACGTAAGCTTAGGATTTGAATGATTTTACTTTAATTGTATTGTTGGGATAGTAGATAGTGAATAGGATTGATGATCTAGTTTAGAATTTTAAAATATTTGCTTGTATTAATTTATGATTTGATTTAGGATTTTGAATGATTTGTTTATGTTAGGAATTGATTTTATTGTGTTAGAAATTGATTTGTTTGGAGCATTTTAGAAAATGGGGGGAAAAAGGCCCAAAATAAATATTTACAAAATGGGGAAAAAAGGCTAAAAAATAATTTTTTTAAGAAAAAAGTCCAATTTACAAATCGCCCGCACATCCGCGAACCCTATTTACACAAACCGCACTACGGGCGGTTGCAGGTTGACTTTTTCCTAAACCACATAGATGCGAGCGAGTCCAAATCGATCCGTAAACCATCCAAATTCGAACCGCGAACACCCCTATAAATAATACACTTTAAATATTTTAAATATTATTATATTATGAAGTGCACAGTATTTGACTGTGCGTATAACAACCCTCATTTTTCATTAGTCATATTCATGAGAATTTACATGATTTTGGTTTGTTAAGCTTACATTTTGTAAACTGTGATATTTTGCCTAAGTATAAGATTCTTGTTTTGTTCCATGCTTGTGTACTGAACCTAGGCTATCTACCTTTGCTACTTCACACCTAGGTCACACCTCTGAACCTCTTACACTTAGGTCATTGAGCGATAACGCCTAAAGCCATCTTGGAACCATCTTGGATCCATGTTGGCTGACCTCCACCTACACCCTTGCACCTTGACCGAGGTGTGCATCACTTAAGCTGAGGTGTGCACCACCTAGGCATTTGAGATCCTTAATCCTTGAACCTTCTTTTCGAGTTGTGCACCTTAGCGAACACCTAATAACCATTGTTCCATGTCTTGTACAACCTAGGCTGAGGTGTGTCACACCTAGGTCAAGTATTACCCCTTATAGCCATGATCAAGAAGACCTCATCTATCCTTTACTTGTCCGAAGCCTATGTTTTGATCCATGATCCTTGCCTTGTCAGAAATACCCATGCCACCTTACTTATTGTATACAGTTTGATCTACTCTTGTCCATTTATTTAGACACCTTTTGAGGAGATTTGACTAAATGATGCCATGTTTCCCAGTAGTAG